AAGTGCTGTGAGGTTGTTTGAACAATTGGTATACTTTTTTCGATTCACCACTCGCTTATGCTTGGCGAAAAAATAAGAGTTTATGTTGAAACTTAACGTTTGTCATATTGCAAATCAAATTGCATGTTCAATTCAATACGAATGGATGACATTGTGCTCACATGATGAAATTATCTAGCAAGTGGGTTCTTAATCTCTGTAAAGTTTTTTAAAACAAGACGGCGAACACTAAATTATTCACGACTAATGCATTTTAAACAATTTGTTGAACAGTTAAAATAATAAAGCAAAAATTGTGAGCTGTATTTACTGTTGGGTACAATTATGCGTTTTTGTAGTGCTGAATGGCTAATATACAAATATACGCATAGTACTTATAAATGGCAGTAGATGCTTAGGTAAGTGTGAAAGATGTAAAGAAGGATAAAGATATTTCGAGTGCTATTTTAAGTGAAATCTCTACACATCCATACACACATGTGTAAAAAGCTTCGGTTTTGCAATGGACAGTTAGGGCTTGTTGGCATGTATCATCATTAATACTATTTAGCTTTAAATATTTGTAATTAAAATTATTCATAACCACAGAATTATGAGGTTGCAGCAGCTTCTGTCATTTGATAAATATTTTAATTAGATGTTTATATTTCAACTTAGTAGAGGTCTGCCACATATACAAGTATATGTGTAATGAAATTTCCACTGCATAACTACCAACTAGGGTATCATTTTACCTGTTGATCAACGCTGCGCGCGTAAACCGAATCGATGAAAGAAATGTCTTAGATTTGTACAGCCTTTTTTATATTCATGTGAAATTTGATCTCCATATGCCAATTAGTGTGTGTTTATTTACGACGCAAAAAATTGTTTAGACATTTTTACCATGGAATCACGGAGTCAATGAAAATATCACAGAAGTGTTTTGGGCAGTCTACTTCATTAAGAACACAAGTATTTGAGTGCATCAAAGCACTCAGTCAAGGTCGGGAAGTCATTGAAAACTTGCCGCATGCGAGACGTCTATCCACCTCTGTAAATGATGACCGTATCGAAAAATTTAAAGAAATAGTGCTTGAAAACCGTTGCGTTGACATCAGCGAAGTATTAAAGATCTCTACATCTGCTATGGTTCGACTCAATATATTCGGGTTAATGTTTTGAGTATAAAGCGTATAAAACTATAAAAGTAGCTTCTAAAACGTCAATACCAACTTAAGATTTGTTTCAGATGGATATTCAAGTCTGTCGGTTATGGTTACTGTCTGCTATCAGCCTTTCGTTGATATATAATACCGCTGCCTCTCTCGTATAAGTTTTTCGATGATTATTGGTTCACTAGTAAACATGTATCTACTGAGATGTCCAGTGGCGGCTTACTGGGTGAATCTGGAGAGAGAAAAGCCGCACTATATGTATTTCTTACGCTTCTAAAAACTGTATAATAAACTATTAACTAGTATACCAGTTGTGATGTTTAGTGATTAATTAGATTTATGGTTTTGGTATGCCGGGGAAAGCCTGCTACAGTAGGAGAACCGCAATTGTACAGGAGTTATGCATGCTACATGGCCTCGAGCATTTTGGGTTCGATTTCTAAAACCGATTTCTGAATAAGAGAGCTTGTATAGCCATTCTCTACAGTAGTTAGTGTTTGTAGTTGTGATTTCAATGACCTACTGGCCCAGAAATTTCGACAAGCGTGGTGTGGGTCATCTTGTATTTTTTCCAAGTGCTTTCGACTAATCATTTAAATTAGGGTAAAATTATTAGGTTAAATACGATGCTGACGGCGACAACCTGAAAATTTTATACTCTAGCAATTCGCCGAAAGTTAAAAGTCTTTATATTAGCGATATGGAAGCTATGGGAAGTATTGGAACTAATTTTACCATTTTCTACAGAAGGGAACATAACTATAGGGAACATGTTCTCTTCAATTTCAACAATAATTATCAATTATTGACCGATATTTTCGGTAAAAAATCAGCCATACGTACTGTGGTTCATATATTCGGTATCTAGGGACTTGAACAGTTGTGATTTGATTTCGACAATTTTTGGACGTCAGATGGCATGCCAATTGCACTATTTCTGCATAGTTTTATTCTGATAATCTCATTGGTGCCTAATTTATATACTGTAAAGTGAAAGAATCGTTGAATCTGATTGATGTTAGCTGTTAACAATAACCCTTATTTTGGTTAGGCGAACAAAACAATTATACTCTGTATAAACATGTTGCGGAAAAGTAAAAATGACTAATAAAGTTATAACTTCTTAACACATTACAAAAAAAAATAATGTTTTCACTCAAAAGTCTCTTTGAAAATCGATAACTGATTGCAGTTGTTTTAATATAGTATTTTTTTCAGAAAGTCATACTTTAAACTAAACTGTTTTAAGGTCAAAAGCTCATATATTTCATTTATTATACAAACTAATATGAATTACTTCAGTGAGCTTTTTTTAAAGCTGAATTCATTATCGGTAAGCTTGCGGCTGTTTATAATATCCTTTAACGAATATCCTATAAAGTAAATATGTATGTATATGGTAAAGTGGGTATATTTCGACTAACATTTTTGTAGAGCACATAGTGGTAAATTTTACTGACCATCATAAAAGCAGAGAATGTTAATGAATTCATATTCATATCCATTAACATTCTCTGATATGAGGCCAAATATTTTCTGTAAAACCCGAAAATATCCTTTTGCATTTACATTGCGCTCAGTGCTATAAAATGTCAGAAAAGGCAGTGTAGTACTAAAAATTTGTTCGAATGGTTGCATATCATTAACTTTTACTATTCAGTAATATGACTTTTATATCAACATCATCATTTTCGAACCACCAAGCATAAGATGATAATATTTTAGATTAATACATTCTCATGTATCACTTTATACTCATTCGTTTTTAGATTAATAAATTATAATGTATCACGTTGTACTCAAATTTGTATTATTCGAACAGTTTCTATTATTGCAGACATGAACCACTCATTTTTTATAGCGACACAAGAAAGGTGTGTGTCTGTGAAAATTTACGATATATTTATATTCATACAAATAACGTATATTATTTACGGGCTCTGCGCGTGGGTTCATGACTGCAATAAGTGTTTTAGCCGGAAACATCACCAGAGTATAAAATATATTTATATTTGTGTGTGTTTGAGCATTGTAGGGTGGTCGGCACACATTTGTTACCCCAAGTTCAAAAGTATTATATGTAAATTAGAGAGTCTGAAATCTAAATTTTAAATGTATATTAAAATTGCTATGTAAGGTTCTATGTATTATATTTTTACAACCCTTCGACTATCATCAAACAATCTTACGGTCAGCAAGGCCTTTGATTCATTTAATGTCATTTTAGAACACACTTTTCTTTCACAGCTATTTTATTCAGGAAAAAGGAGACCTACGCTAACCATGCGATGAACGTGGCAAATTGAAACTTAAGTATGACATCTGTCATATTAAAAAGCATATTATGAGAAGATAGTGTCCTTCAATAGTACCCATTCCTGCTCCATTTCAAACTCTCGCCTTTTAAATATAAAAAGCAGATTTTTTTTTTAAATATTTGAAAATAATTAATAGAAGAAAACACAACACCTTTTCTATTTTGCTTGTCTAGTATGCGATAGAGGCGATAAATCGTGTGACAGCTATGCTCTTAACCCTTAAATGTCATACACATAGCTAAATAAATAAGTTGAAACAAAGCAAATCGATATATCTTTATCAAACAAATATTTACTTAGCCCACTCATTCATTAATACAGAATTTAATCGCGCTTGAGTACTCTGTGGCCACTGTCTTTACCAACTTTATGTGATTACAAGCAATAATATTGACATTTTACATTCATGTGCGATTAGTTAACTTACCACGAGCAACTTGTTTATATGCTTTTCATGTGATCGGTAAATCGGTTGAAGTGTGACACATTTTAATTGATTTGTAGTAGAATTTATAAGTGTTTATTTTATGAATATTAAAATTTATTGATCATAACTAGATTGTTCATTACAAAATTTCTACACTTAAGAATTAAAGCGTCTTTCGTGCAGGTTACTGCATATTTATAAATAACAATTTCATATATATAATTTCTAAGGTTTCTCATTAAAAATATATTTATATACATACATATGTACAATGTTCATATGCTTTAATGGGCACACCTAGTGCGAAATTTCGAAAATATATATATTATTTTATTTTTTATATATTGTATATCGATATTACATAAATTAATTTAATTAATACTTCGAACATATTTTGAGTTATAGGCTTTTTAAGTGTAGCCGTCAATAGTGAATATTCACTCGCATCTCTCAAATTTATCGAATTTTCTCTAGTGAGGGAGAAAAATTATCCACTCACTAAGAACTTTTTTTTGCATGTTTTGTAAATGGTTCTCCATACAAAGAACTAACGGCTTTTTAATCTGACCAAAAATCCAATTATAGCAGGCCAAAAATTACAAAAATTTCAAGTAAAAATCAACTTTTTTTTTAAATGCAGCCATTTTGGCAACTTTTGAATTTTTTCGAAATTTTTTGGCAGTTTTTTTTAGGTCATTGTAGGAACAATATCTTTTCAAGTTTCATCTACAGTGAAGGCCGGAATCAGTGCAGCGGTGGAGGGCCTTTTATAACGGCGTCAGAAATCGAAAGATATATAATTTTTTCTTCAAAAGTTTTGCTGTAGACTCTTAGAATATGAAAAATATATTCATAAGATTTTAAAACAATTGAATTAGTGTTTTTTGTTAATCGTCAAAAATCTGCTTTCTTTAGGCTGTTACACTGGGTGTGCCCCTTAAAAATTTTAAAAAAATTAACAACTAACTAAGTATGTATGTACACTTATTTATTAAAATAAATAATTTTTATTAATAATAAATAAATATTATAATTATTAAAATAAATAATTATTATACTAAGCAGCTAATTAATCACAGTAGGCATAAAAACGCACAATAACTATTTAGCACAAGCACAAAATTTCTTTTAATACATACATACATAATATCATTGCGTTAAAAATTCTATAATTTGTTGAGTGAGCTAACTAATAATATAATAATTTATAAATTAAGTGTGTACAAAATGTATCAATTCTTTTTACAACAATAAACAACAACAACTTATCTGCTAAATGCGGGCTGGGCATGATTTCCATAAATATTTTTTGTTTTATGTATAATGCTCTTATACGCCTAAATGAATGCAATAAATAAATAAATAGATAATGTGATGCATACTTTGAGGAACTCTAGCCTATCACTAGGAATTGTGCGCTTAAAACTACTTAAAACTAGTGGTATGTTTAAGTATTGGACCTCCTTATTTATAATACAACAGCCCAGCCAGGCAGGCATTCACAAAGCCTTTATAAAGGCTACAGCAGGCATAGCTTCTTTTAGTTACACTATTAATGGCACATACTGGGAAAAATTCTTTTTACTACTACACTAATACAATTATGCTACGCGCTCACGCTGTCATTAACAACTCGTCGCTCATGCCGTACGACGCCTGCGCAGAAATATCATAACCCTGCAAGTCGGCTAGATCCAACCATTGACTGTAGCTGCTCTCATCACTGTAGCTGGCGCCCGATTTGGCAGCTGCTCTGTTGCCCACCTTCTTTTTGGTCGCCTGAAATTGACGACGCACTATCTGCAACATATGTTGCACGAACTTGTTGTAGCGTTGTTTGGCGAAACGCAAATCTTTCGCGTCCACACCTTTCTGGTCTACGAGTGCCTGGTCATTCGAATGGAAATTCAACTTCTTTTGCATTTCTTCGCGCGTAACGGTGCGTATTTTCGCTTGCGGATTTACAATGAGTATGGCAGATTCCAATTCGCAGAGTGTACGCCGCGCGCTGAGCAACAGTGCGTTGAGTTCGTATGTGGTGGCGCCGATCACTTGCTGATTTTTCAGATCCCAACGATATTGTTTCACACCCAAGTCGGCGAAGGAGGCGACAAATTTCTGCATGGCGTGATGCCAGTGATGGAGTTCGATCTGTAATGGAAGAAAAAGCGGAAGGTAATGGTTAGTTGCAAGTTGATTGTAGGTTTCGCTTTAGTATGTGTGCTCTTATAAGCTTATACATATACAATGCCTTTTGCCTAATGATCATATTTACTTTTTCTGGATATGCATTTTCTATAATTAAATGTACCGTAAAAAAAAATTCTTAAGCATTAAAAGCAAATATTCCAGAACTATGCTAAAAACAACCAATTTTATTCAATTCTTCTAACTCTGTACCTGTAAGCCCTGACTCAACTTCCTGCAATAATAATTTGGCGAAATGTTGGGAAAATCCATTCTAACTGCAAATCTAATTTGAGGGGAAAATCCAGAGTGAAATTTGATATGTGATAAGCGTACGAGCCTCCAATTTTCGACAAGAAAAGCTTTGTGAGTACAAAAGTACGAAAAGAAAGAAGAAATAAAAAAATAACAATAGTTCAAAGCTAACAACCAGCATTTCGCTAAAAAAACAATAACAGCAAAAAAACCATAACAAAAGCGGCTGCTAAGTGATAGACAAGCAGACCAAGCTCTATGCATACGAGCGTCAAAAACACAAGAAACCCAAAACAACCGAGCGCCTTATATGCTGTGATAAAAGCGCACACAAACAGACTGTGCTATATATTTCATCAGTTGTGCCGACACACACACATATATATATGTATGTATATAAGTACGTTTTTATTAAATTTCAGTGTCTAGCGGTCTGCGGTCGTGCATACCCGCAGACTTTTGAGTCGATACGAAGTGACTAAACTTTTGTATTAGTCATCGGCTTGTTCGTTTATAATGTATGCATGCAAAGCGAGCGAATACAAGACGTCACTACGTCACGCAATAACGAAAAAAGAAGCTAACCTAACCTAGTGGAAGCCTGTTGTGTGTTTGTTTGCATGTGTGTATGTGTTTGTATAATTTGCTTATTAAGTATAAGTGATTGTCACAATTGGCGCAAGCTTTCAACGAACGCCAAGCGAACAGCTGGCCGATCGGCCACTCGTTTTATCAGCTGAATGGTTGGATGGCTGGTTTAATTGGAAAGTGCGGCGCATGCAGGGCGCGCGTTCAGCTTAAAATCGGTCAGCAGCGCAACGAAAGTGCTTCATATCACACGCAAACATACATTCATGCTTATGCATCGAAATACAGATATATATATGTATATGCGCTCGCTGTTATTTGCATTGCTTGATTTGCATCAATAAATTGTATGACGTCTAATATCTTCATATTTTTGTGCATGAATAATTATGTTTTCTTATTTAATTCATAAGAATATACATGTCTACTCACTTTGGCTGTTCGATTCAATGTTGGCAGAAATTTATATTTCCTACTATGCTTCCGCCAGCTGAACATATCGTCGATATTGATCGTATGTAGTGCATTAATTGTTGTATTCTCCGAACGCAGCGCCTTCTTAAGCCTTTTCACTGCTTCTTTCTTGTCCATCATATGGCTGATGCTTGCCATCGCATTCTCCACCCTCTCATAGCCGCATGCATTCATCCACTCAAGTGGCGCCTCAGCCTCGTTTGCCACATTTGCTATGCTTTTCAAGCGTATGCCGTCGTTTTGGCGCTTGCGCAGTCGCTTTCGTCGTCCGTGTTGTGCCGCACCTGCCGTGCTGTCGAGTAATTGTTGAAAGACGGCGCTTTGTTGATTGCTAAGCGCCTCGGCGGCGTTTATAGCTGGTAATGCGGCTGAGGTGTACAGGTGAGTGGCTTGTATGGCGGCCGCTGCACTGTTTGCAGGCATTTGTGTTAATACTGTTAGCACTGTTAACATTAATACTGTTAATGTTGTTAACTGTTTGGTTCGTTGGCTTTGCTGTGTTTGTATTGCGCTTATTTTAGCCATTTTATTGTCGCTTGTTATTAGCTGAAATTAATGAAAAATAATTTGTGAAAATTTCTCGATATTAAATTATTAATTAGTTTAGTAAATAATATTAATACAATAACACATTTTGTAACAAAAAAATTTTATTATTGTACTCTGTATTTTGGAAAATGTTATATTTATTATCATCGTAATTTTTTTAGCTTTTAATTTTTTTGATTTAAAATATTATTATATTTTGTATTCTCAAACGGAATTTTAAAGTTCAATATATATTTAGAAAAATTTTCATTCTTATATTAATTGTTTTCAGCATCAGTAATTAATTTTATATTAAATTTTTGCGATTAAAGATACATATTATTGTACGTGAGAGGTATATAAAATATTCTTTAAACATTATTGATTTTTATAAAATAAAAAATTTTTTAGAAAATTTTTTTGAAAATCTTTTATTAGTAAGATGTGTATAGTAAAAATTTTTTTTTTCAATTTTTTAAGTCAATTTAAAAATTATTTTACTCAGTATTTAGAAAATCAATTATATTAAATTATTATTTTAATTTTTGAAATCAATATTTTTAATTTTATACCAAAACTTTTATAATCCAAAACAATGTTATGCAAATAATTTTTAGTAAAAAAAAAGATAGGGTAAACATTTTTTAATATAAGTTAATTCTATAAATTTAGTTTTCGTTTATTATTTTTTAATATCATTTTTATATTATTTTTTTTTTACATATTTAAAATTTTTTTCAATTCTTTATTTCTTTAATTTTATATACATATATATATATATATATTTTTATATTTTATCTCATTTGTTTATGTTTTGCGCAACCCATAAAACATAACTCAACTATACAAACCAGTTGCTGATGTATCTTCTTAAAAGAAGCAAATAAAAAATCTCCCTAGTTGACATTTGCAACAACTTATCGCCGGCAATAAATCCTACAAATATGTTAATTAATATTGCAAAATGCCTGCGAGGCAGCAATATTAACATATTACGATACTAAACTAGTAGTTGCAACCTAAACGGTAGGCAGACAGCGCTTTCAACAACAACAACAACAAAAATGCAATAAACAAGTGTCATTCAAAGGCCTAAAACAACGTGTGGCGCATGCGCTGCAACAATAACAAAAACGAGGACGAAGTCAACAGCACTCACTTAGCAGCAACAGTTGCACGAGGCTCAACTGTCAGTGAAAAATGCAGAAATTCCACACGCGCACACACATACATTTGTAGTTGTATGCAGCCATGCCGGATTGTTTAGTGTCTGCAAATTATAAGTTGCGTCTAATGCGGCAGCTCATAATCACCAGCAACATTTTCAAATTCAAACACATATATATATATATTATATATGAGTAAATAGCTTTGCATAAAACAATTTGGGAACTTCGCTTGCGGTACACATGCGCGCCAAACGTTCGACGTGTCTGCGATGGCGTGCCAAAAAGTGGCTATAAAACACGTTGATGACGTACCTGTATGCTGTACAGGTGTGCATGCGTATGTGTGTATGCGTATGAGCGCGCGTTGTCACACGCTCGTAGGTGTATGCCACCATGCTTATAATAACCATGTCTTTGTCATTAAAATGGTATGAAAGGTCGTTATTGTTTTGAAGTTACCCTTCAATATTTGTTGTTTTGGTTTTTAATTTCTTTTGATTTCAATTATTTCTTTTTTTTTTTTAAATGATGCAGGCACAGTTTAAATGCTGACCTATATCCTCATATGTATTGTGGCTGTGACGACATAATATCAGAGAGGTATATATTATATATATATGTTGTGTTTTTTTGGGGAAAATTCTTGAGGCTACTAGTTTTTAAAAAAAGGTTAAAAAAAATTTTTATAAATATTTTACTTTAATTTTGAGAACTTTTTATTCTAAATAATATTTTAAAACCATTAATTATTTTTTTTGTCATTGTTTCATATTTACTTCATGGCATTTTATATATTTTTTCCTAAACATTTTATTTTAATTTAGAGGAATTTTTATTTTAATATTTGAAGAGCATTAATTATTTAAAAAAAAAGTTTTTCATATTTATTTCAAAACATTTTATATTTTGTTTTCATAAAAATTGTATTTTAATAAAAATATAATATTTCAAAAAAAAAAAATTAAAATAAGAATTAATTAATAAACGATATTTTTTATAATTTTAAATATTTAAAATAGTTTTAGAATTTAAATAAATACTAGTACAATTAATAAATACAACTTTGCCTTTAAAAAAAAAAATCCTTTCAAATGCCTTTCAACTAGTCTGAAGTGACAGCACCATGGCAAATGTTTGCATATTAAAAATATTTTATATTATTTAATTCATGTTTAAATTGTTTTCATTAATACTTTTGATTTTATTTCATATTAAATATTTTTGTATTTTTATTTATTATATTGAACATTTACTTTATTTATTAATATTAAAATACTAATTACTAAATTAAATCTGTTGCATTTTGTTTTTCTAATTATATTATATTGTATAATTATTATTATATTTCCATCCATTCATATATTTTATTGCATATTAACTATTTTTATACTCTTATTTATTATTTTAAACAACGCATATCATAGCTTTTTATATTAAATAAATTCTTTATATTAAAACAAAATTGCTTTGTTTTGCCTTTCACAATTTTTATTAAGTTTTTTCTTTATTCTTACCTTTTGCCTCTTATAAAAAATACTGTTAGTTGCTGCTTTTGCTCTAGAAGCCAATTTGCTGCTTCTCTTTTTGACTTGTGCTGCTGACTGGCAGCTGATTTGTTGAACTTGTAAGTTAAGTTTTTGATATATTAAAAACAATTTTTTTTTTCGAATACACACGTGCTTTTTACACAGCCAAATTTCGTATTCTTGGCTATGAATTCCGTGAAATCACGTGCTTTACAATAAATAAATTAACAACGAGCTTAATAATATTTATAATTATATTTTCACAGCGCTTTTCAATCGACTTTTAATAACGTATTAATAATTTAATACAATTTTTTTACTTAATACTTTTTTCGTTCGTTTCAATTATTTTATTATTTATTATATTATTATTATTGTTTTGCTCCGAGCTGCGTGTTGCTCATTTGTCGACTTAATACTTAATAATAACGTTGCTTGCGTTTCGCAGTCTTTATATGAACTAACTAAAAACATTTGAATGCCGACTCTCTTATGAGCTTGTTAACGCCGGCATGTAGCGTTTACACACAGTTACACACACACACGCCAATAAGCAACGCGTTAGTCAGCGCGATACGTTTACTGCGCTTACTTACGGGCCGGCTTGAGTCTCCCTCACAATTATGAATAAGAGTTACGAGCAATGAGTTAGAAATTAACTTCAATTGAGTCAAATTTTAAATTGCCAAAACAAAAACAACTACCGTTAAACAAGAACAATCACAGCAAATCGTAGCAAATGGGTAGGTGTTTATGGTTGTTTGCGGATATAAGTATAAATTAATGTATGTATGTATGAAAAGATTGTGTGTAGGTGCGTGTGGTAAAAGAGCAATGCTGTATGTCTGTCCGTCTGCATTCCAGCCAACTGGCGGCCAAAAGAACGAAGAAAAACGCGCGCACTTTGCAATTACTCATCGGCATTTTCCGCATGCAACAAGGAGGAGATAAATGCCATGGTGAGACATACATATACATATAAATTATACATTTATTTGTCAGCTTGTGAGTGTATTGGCCACAAAAAAACGTAAGAATCACAGATAATCGCACTCCATTTACACTCTTCAGCTATGGAGACACCCCTAGGGCACAAGCCCCTTCGCTATTAACGCAGCGCATGCCAGGTATATGTTATACATGTGTGTGCGTGTATATACATATAATTGTTTGTTTTGAGACCGAGCCTAAACTCGTAGCTTGGCTGCGAGCATTGAGTGGGCTGGTGAGTAATAAACTACTTACTTAGCTACTCGCTTACAAGCAAACACACACATATACAAATATAGATGTACATTTTACGCTCATGCCACGCTTGAGTGAAATGCTGTGCAGCAGAAAGGTGTTGTAAGTGCTGCTTACAGGCATATAAAATCACATTTATGCTCAAAGCGTAAGTATGTATGTGTATTCTATCACTGTTACCTGCGCTAATCACGATTATGCACGTGGGCGTTGTAATTGCATTCCTAATGCATGCGCACACACACACATAAGTGTCTATTTGAGTTTTCTTGTCGATTGTACCATATGCATTTCAATTATGTACTAGTGACGTCGCTGTGGCAAGTAGCCAATGGGCATTTGTATTGACGGCTGGCAGCGGTGGCGGGGCGTAGACATTTCGATGCATACTGCAGCCTTCAGTCATATTTCAATCTATTTACCTTAGAGTATTGAGTGTAACCGCGAATGCAGAATATATACATATGTATATACATATGTGTGTCAGCGTAAATATTTGTTTACTCCCTGACGTGTTTAAAAATAAAATGCAATTAAGTTCCCCTACTTATATTTACTTTGACGGTGCACTTTTGAAATTTTTTTTCAAATTTTGTTATAAATGTGCAGTCAACACCCTCATTTCGCAATTTGCCATATTTAGAAATTTCAGAATTTTTACCGTTTCATCAAGTAATGACGTCTTTAAGTGTGCCACTGTAGTTTGACTGACTGTGAATAATCTTATGTACTATGCAAATATTTCGTAGGTTCGGTCATGATATTCTTAGAAATATTGCTAAAAATAGCGTTATTGATGGTTGGATAATACCTAGAAATCGCTCTGAAGTGCTTTTAGTCTAAATTTTTTTTTTAATTATTGGTTAGTGACTTTTTAGCCGGCTTGCTTATGCTGATTAAGTACATAGAGTTCACAAATAAATCTTTTTTATACAATATCTTATAAAAGTCCACACATATTGTATTTTCAAGGTTCTCTTTTATTTCCTATTATATACCCGCAAGCATGTTCCAGATAAATCAATATTTCTTTGATATAAACCTTCAGATGAGAGATGACTTTACATATTTAGTCCTACTGAGATTTTCATATTATGCCTACACACTTGATTTAATTTTAAGGGGGTGTTCTTGTCTAAAGATGAATTTCAAAGGTTAGATCTTCAAAAATATCGCCCTAAATGGATTTTTTGAAATTCGAATTATTTCTGAAGTTATAGCCGTTTAGTGTCGTGGCAGCTGGACCGATTTAGCGGAAGATGAATTAAACGCATTTTTTTAGAAACTGCTGTTTTTGAGGTGATATCTTAAGTCTTAAAAAAAAAGAGAGCAAAGAAGTGTTCTTTCAAGTCGACGCCATATTTTTTTTCTTTCGCAAAGGTCAATCCGATAGCGACACTAATGACGATTTACTAATGAAGAATTTTTTATTTTAAATCACAACAAGGGTTGGAATCATGTCAACCAGGAAGCACCGTTTTTTTTGCAGCCCTGACTTCAAGCTAGCACTAGCCTGTAATTCGACAATTTTTTGATTTTTTTATATTCTTTAAATGTTACACCAGTAAGAAAGGGCTAAGTTCGGATGTAACCGAACATTTTATACTCTCGCAAAGTCAAATGGTATACTTGTTTTAGATTTCTTTGTGGATTGACTGATATTTTCGGTAAAAAGTCAACTATAGGCACTGGGGTTCACATATTCAGAACCTCGGGGCTTGAACAGTTTTGGTTCAATTTAGATATTCTTCGGTCACAAGGTGGCATACTTTAAACGTATTATTCACGCAAAGTTTTACGCCGATGTAATCATTGTTGCTTGATTTGATCAGAATGAAAATCCAAATCAGATGGAATTTAAAATGATGTTATGTGGGAAGTAGGCGTGGTTGTAATCCGAATTCGCCCATTTTCGTACTATAATATAGAAATATGAGAAAAATATTACGTACCGAATTTGGTTGAAATCGGTTAAGCAGATCCCAAGACATGGGTTTTTACCTAAAAGTGGGCGGTGCCACGCCCTCTGTCTAATTTTGAACGTGGTTCTTACAAAAGCATCTTATACCATCCCAGAGATAAAATTTAATGTCTCTGGCTTGTTTAGTGCTTGATTTATCGCGCTTTTGGTAGTTTTTAATAGTACCGTTATAGGGAGAGTGGGCGGGGTTGTCACTCGATATCACCCATTTTCACACCGTCGATAGAGATGCTAAAACATTTGTTCCCAGTGAATTTTTTTTATAATAGCTTCAGTGGTATAGGAGATATGCACATTAATCTTATTAGGGGGCGGGACCACGCCCACTTAAAAAAATTGCAGATGCTCCCCCTATCGTGATCCTGTAAGAGTCTTGTATCTTGTTGTGGAACGTAGTTATGACAATTTATTTGTTTTTGATTAATGGCGTTTTGTGGGCGTGGCAGTGATCCGATTACGCCCATCTGCAATACCAACCATCTTACGGTACCAAGAAACAATTTTTACTCAAATTTTAGCTTTAGCTAAGTTTTTAGCAGACAGACAGTCACCCGGATGTGAACTCGTCTCTTCATCCTGATTATTTATATATATATAACCCTATATTTATTAGATTAGTTTTAGGTGATACAAACAACCGTTAGGTGAACAAAACTAGTTTGAAAAATGTTTTAAGTTTGGGCAACTAAACCAGAATAGCCCCATTAATATTTTTGTTATTGAATTAAAAAAATCTTTTTCTAATACAATTGTTTACAGAAGGAAAACTACTATTACCCCTCAAGTTTATGTTATAAACCTAAAAGTTTTTTATGTATTATATGGGTGTCCAAGGAACAGTTTCATGCAAATTGTGTAAATATTTGTAATATGTTAGTTAACCAGCTTGAATTTCGCTGAAATTGTGGAACTACCAGACGTACTCCCTATTCACAAAGAAACGAATTACTTTTTTTTGTGCTTTTACACCTTTTCATCCTTGGCAGATCAAAACCTAAAATATGGGCCTTATCTACATATATATTTGGTAGACTTATTGTCGAAAATAATGATATAATAGTGTAAATTGTCTAGTGCGACCATTATGTAAGCACGGTTTCGATTGCTCAGAAGTTCAACATTGCACAAATCCTAAATCCTCCACTAAAAGTAAAAGCCCGCTATAGGGGCACCACAAGAGTTAACGGAACCTCATGGTCGAGTCGCGGCGCATACGTTAGCTAAGCTTGAATTTATGGTCAGGAATGTTTCGCCATATGTTTGGTGTGATTGGCAGGGAATCAACCTACTATAAGCTGCTCTTTTAAGGCCAAACTATTAATTCGAACTTTTACTATCAAAAATTGGACCATTTAAATGAAGCATTTGTCTGGTAGTGTTCACCTTTGGCCATTAGGAGAGAAATTATCTTCCATCAGGACAGCGCCAAGTCACACATATAGATAGTGACTCACCATATCTCCAGAAGCTGGATTGTGAGGTTCTAATGATTTCAGCTTATAATACGGACCTGGCACCAAGCGATTAATACCTGTGCCTGTATATGGAGAATTATTTTGCGGATGAAAAAATCGCCTCAAGAGAAGCTTGTGAAAATCGACTGTCCCACTTTTTTTGTTAATAATAAATTCTCTGAAGGTATAATAAATTATTGAACCAAACGTTGCATATTTCACCTAAATCGGTTCATTGAAACGAAGCTAAATAAAATCTTTCATTTAGTACTAAAATTAAGGATTTCTTTTTACTTCAATCTTGGATTTGAACAATACTTAAATTTCATTACAAATATGTAAAGATATCCCTATGTACAACTAGACTAAACATTTTTCTTGAATAAACGACATAAATGCGGCTCGAAATTCTGAAGCCTGAACTTTGATGATTTGATTACGGAGAGGATTTTTCGGTGTTTTCTGGTTCCCAAACAATCTGTGCCTAAGTAGCTGTATGGAAAGATCTTGGCTTGACCCGCGAATTGCTTGTCCGTGTTCCGTGAAATGAAATTTTCGAAATTTTCAAAAGTTCCATTTAAGATATGATTTTTTTTATCCCAGAATAGAGGAGAGAAACTAGAATATTAGTTAAGGTGCAGGCGCCAAAAAGTAGGCAGCATTCCTTTCATGGATAGCGCTCACTGAGATTCGTCGTTACAGATATATAAATAGAAAAGAGTGCGGTGTAATATTGACCTTGGCCCGGATATCTTCTGACCGAAAACCATTTAGAGACTATCCAGTGTCCATACTAAGCCACCAGGAAGAATATATATACATAAATATAATGATATAAAAAAAATACTATTGCAAGCCAAGTAAGTAGATGATATGATATGACATAGAATGAACAGAATAGACACTAAAAAGCGAAAAAAAAGTTCTCTAAGCTCAAATATACAAATAAATTAGGTCATAAGTTCTGCGTCATCAAATTGATATCAGGACAGCTGAGTGGAGACCCTATAAACTACAAGTATATATGTACATACATAACTGCTCAGCGTGATGAGCTGAGTCGATTTAGCCATGTCTGTCCGTCTGTATATACGTGAACTAGTCCGTCAGGTTTTGAGATATCGATTTGAAATTTTGCGCACGTTATTTTCTCCTCAAGAATCTGTTCATTTGTCAAAACCGCCGATATCGGACCAGTATAGCATAAAGCTGCTATTCAAACTAACTGATCAAAATAAAATTTTGGAAAGCTTTTTTTATTTGATGCTATCTTCACAAAATTTGGCATTATTTTTGGATTATTTTTCAAAACGGCGCTACAATGTCCGACTATATCGTATAGATCGGATCACTATAACACATAGCTGCCATAGAAACTGACCGATCAAAAGCAAGAAAATTTTGTTATGTACCCCTTCATGCTAGAGCAAATACACCTGTAAAGGATATTGTAGCTTCGGTGCAGCTGAAGTTCATAAATTTTTTTTTAATATTAAACTAGTGTTTAATTACGTGTCGAGGTAAATAAATAAAATAAACCGTATTTTTATTCTCAACATTATTATTGTGTGCACTACCACTCATTATGTCATAAATAAATATATAAATTAAATAAATATTGATGAAAATTCTCGTAACATATTTTAGTTACATTTAAATATATATATATGGCACATAATTTACTATCACTTAGTTTCATTAACGTTTTCACTTAAAAGCTAAATACAGCATTATGCTCTTAAAATATAAATAAAATAATTAATTTAAATCACAGTTTCTTATTTGATTGGTTATTCAGTTTTTCTATACTTTGTTCAATATTATTTTTTTAAGTAGTTTTAGAATGTTTTATTTTAAATTCGCATTTTCTTTCTTCTATTCCGCAGAGTCATCATCATCACCACCATTCAAAATGGACACATCCTTTTCCAAACTTTTATCGAGTATGGTCGGGTGAGTGTTCGTCTCACATGTATATGACATTCGAATATGTCTGGGGTGACGTGGGAGCATTTTCCAAATTCGTAGCAAATAATTTTGATAGAAAAATGTAACAAAGCGTAAATCTGTATGATGGACACCATGTTGTGCGGCAACATTGGCAACATTTCTATTTGTGTAGAAATTAATTTGTGTAAACATTTCAGCATGTGGAATGCTAGCAACATGTCGGCTACTGCGTGGAAAGCAGCCATTGATGTTCGTCTCAATTTCGCAAAGTATACGCTTAGCGCTCTGCAATAATTCCAGAAGCTCGCGTGTGATGGCACTCTGTGTATGTAGGTGTTGTTGGTCCCATTGTTGTTGGATTTTATGCAGATAGTCAAATGAAGCAATGAATTTTTGTAGGCTTAGATGCCAGCAAACGGGAGCAATCTAAAAATAACAAAAAGTAGGAGAAGCATTTAATAAACGTTGCCATACGTTAAAAAAATTATTAATAATAAATAAATATTTTATAAACAAATAAGGAAGTGTTAAGTTCGGGTGTAACCGAACATTTCATACTCTTGCAACTAGCCAGGATCAAAGCCAGGGAAATACCTTCAAGTGCATAAGGTTTGTTAGAGCAATGAAATCCAATAATATATAACTCGTATGGTAGTTTGGGTAACTTGTGGACCAATTTCATATATTTTCGGCTTTCAATTGTAGTATATCCAATATTATATGTTTAGTTAATGTTGCTAAAGTATCTGACTTATTTGCTGATATATGCGATTTAACGTCAGCCGGTAGTTTGAAAATCTTCCTATAAGGTATATGGGGACATGGTGAATTATTGTACCGATACAACCCATTTTTGACACACAGACATATTATTATCAGAAAAGTATTCTTTTCGTATTTCAATAATATATCTTACATATTGACCGATATTTACGATAAAATGCTCGGTGTAGGAACTGCGGTCCACATATTCGATATCTGGGGCCACATACCAAATTTGGTCGATATCTGGAGTAGGTTCTGAGATATGGGTTTTCATCGACATGTGGGCGGTGCCACGCCCATCGTGCAATTTTGACTCGGCTCCTACAAAGTCTTCTTGTATCATCCTAGGTGTAAGTTTTAGTGTCTTTGGCGTATGTATTTATTGATTTATCGCGCTTTTAGTAATTTCTAACACAACCGTTAGATGGGGAGTGGGCGGGGTGATCACCCGATTTTTTCCATTTTTACAGTGTTGGTAGGGGTGCTTAAAGACTTTGTCTTGAGCGAATTTTTTTGCTGTATCTTATGTGATTTAGGCCCTCTTAGCAGGCGGGTCCACGCCCGTTATTTTCAAAATTTTTAGTCCACATATGCTTCTTGCTACTGTGATCCCATGTGCCAAAACTAAATTAAGATATAAAAATTTAGTGCTTAGTTATGGCACTATATAGAGGGCATGGCAGTAAACCATTTACGCCCATCTACGAACTCGTCCTCACTTTTTTTGCCAAGGAACACGTGTAGCAAGCTTCATTAGCATATCTCAATTTTTACTTAAGTTCACAGGCAGACGGACAGACAGACAACCGGACTTCAGCTCGCTCCTCATTCTGATCATTTATATATATCTCCATATCTATCTCGATTAGTTTTAGGTGATAAAAACAACCGTTAGGTGAATAAAACTATTATACTCTGTTGCAACATGTTGCAAGAGTATAAAAAGCGAGCATTCCTCAGCAAGCACTACTCATGTATGTATGTGGAAAATTTGGCCTGCAACCTTTGGCTTTGATTGATTTATCGTGCTGTCGCAGCCACAGCCGCTGCAGAAGTGCGCAGCGGATACCATTGCTTGTGCGCGTTGAAACCTCTTTTGACTTATGCAAATCATCGCATTGCGCCTTCAAGCACTAAAATGTTGCTGCAACTGGTTTTGTGCAACAGCATACATTTTGAAGTTGCAAGTAGTGCAGAAAGCTTCGTACTTAGTACTCTTGTCGGCAGTTTACCTTCAACGCCTCTGCCACCGTTTGTCTTCATCACCCTCATGCTTATGCTTTTCTTATCTAAATATCTCGGTATCCTGCGCTGCCTTTTGAGCACCTAATGAGAGCGTAATCGTATGCTCCAATGGCGCGTGGTAAGTGCTCGCGTCAGCACTCTCATAAAGCCCTGAGGGCGGTCATTGTCAAGTTAACGCTTCAGCTGCCATGCAACATTCTTGCTATATGTATTTTGAACTGCAGGATCGATTGGAAGTTGCGACAAGTAAAGGGTGGGTTACAAGCAGTTTCTCGGTGTGGGTACCTCTTGCTTAGAGTGAGAAATATTTTCAGTTTGAGGAATCTTGCAGTCTCTTATTTAATGATTATTGTTTTTTTTTTGTTTTTGATAATTTTGAGTTCAGACAGTTGTCTTGTACGATAATGGGATTTATACTCGAGGGTATTTAAATCATTGATGAAAGCGTTAGGCTTTGAGGTCTAGGACTTTATTCTTATCAAACTAGATTTCTATGCAAACATTATATGAGTGGTAAGGTTGCTAATATATATGAAATGTTGGAATAACCTTGAATATTCTGAAAATAAACAAATTTTTACAAATTCGTAATGGAGAAAATTGGACTGTATATACACCTCTTCCATATCTAACTTCATAGGTGAACTCTTCAGCTACCGCTCTTATGTAACACTTTGGCTTAAGATCTTTGATAGTCTCTCTTCAAGGTAAAAATTCTGAAAGCTATCAAAAATTACTCCATGACAAACAAGCCCTCACTTCAGACGATCCCTTATTCCTCTTTTTGCTGGTGATAATTTGATGCGTCATATAAAGATGTTTAGTAAAGACTAAAAACTCTGGATTATCTTTGATATGTTTGCACAATTTATTCGCACAAATGCGTAAAAGTTTTTCCATATTTTACTTTTGAACATTTCCATACATACATACAAGTATGTATATGAGCACACATCTGCTACAAATGAGAAGTGGAGCGTGCCATGGGTACTTAGAGAGGTGTGTAGTAGACAGGTAAAAAATCCCCTGAAGACACACTGATGACACCACACACTCCAGAACGCCCGCCAGCATATTTGTTCATATAATCAGTTTAGTGCCGGGTTTTTTCGCAAAAGCCCCTAGTACTGTTGACAACCACCACACATGTATACGTAAGTGTTGAGGAAATTTTTTTTTAACAATTGTTTGGTCATGAGCGTGATTACTTGTATGACGCAAATGCTGAGATATAGTGTTTGAATGGAAAATTGTAAAATAAAATATAAAATTCATTGCAAATCCCGCGGTAAAGCGCATACATATGTATGTACATATGGCGAATAATTACAACACAATTCGCATCATGCGATATGTGGCGGCGTCTAAGTGTCTGGTAATTTATTTTCCATATAATAATTTGTTCATGCCTACTTCTATGCACATGTACTTTCTGTGATGGGGTTATTTGGCGCGTGGCGATTTTCAGCCGAACACCGAGTACGTCATGCACTGCAACCCCTATGACTGAACTCATTTCACGTAAGTATACGTCTGGCGAGTGTTCTTAGTCATCGGCGATTATGATAGCGATTGAATTATGTTTGTTACTCGACTTCTTACTATACCCGTAAAGACGTAATACAATTTCTTTGAATAGTGAGACTTTCATTTTAAATTTCTGTGGTGAATGCTTTTGTAGGTTTCACGATTTTATATAGTTTATAGAGTGGATATCACTTACCGTAGCATTACGCTCCAAAGTTGGCAAAAATTTATATTTCCTTTCATGTCGGCGCCAGGCGCGCATATCGTCGATGTCAATGTTGGGTAAAGCATTGCGCTTGAGGCTTTTGTATTCCAAACGTATCGTCTCACGCAGATTTTTCATATACTGCAAAATAATAAAATGTTCATCGATTAGATGTATTCCTACATTTTCAGCCAAAATATAAAAATTTGTTGTTATCATTATAATCGTAGATAAGAAAATATTTTAAAAGCGTTGTTTCTCTCTAAAATATGAACTCATCGAGTAGAAGTATTTCTTTGATAATATTTTTCTTGGCTAAATTAATATAAAACGCTTATGCCATAATAAAAATATTTCATCGATTAGATGTATTATGAAAATAGTTAATTTTTAGCTAAGTTATTGCAATTCGTTGTTATCATTATAAAAGTAGATGAGAAAAAAGGCGCTGTTTCACTGAAAAATTTGAATTCGTCGAAAAGATGTATTGCCCTTCCAACAAATTTCTTGGCTAAATTCATACAAAATACTTTAAAATTGCAAATACTATACAAAATTTCAAATTCATCGTTTAGATGTATTTCGAAAATAATACATTTTCAACCAAATTATTGAAAGTCGTCGTTCTCACCTAATAGTATATGAGAAAATATTTTAAAAGTGCTGCTTTTGTTAAAATTTAGAATTCAGCTATATATGTTTTGCTCGTATAACTAAATCAGTGAAAAATACTTTAAAATTGCAAATACTGTAAAAAAAATAAAATTCATCGATTAGATGTATTTCACAAATAGCAAATTTTTCGTCATATTTGTATTGAAATTCGTTGAGAAAATATTTAAAAATTGCTCTCGCTGTCAAAAGTATGAATTATCGAATGGATGTATTGCATTATTAACATATTTCTTGGCTAAATTTTTTTAAAATACTCTATTATTGCTAATATTATAAAAAATTAAATTCATCGAATCGATGTATTTTGAGTAATACACTTTTTTGAAGAAATAATTACTGTTACACAAGTTGAAATAAACTCTTTGAAAACAATTAAAATTAATTAGAAAAACGTTAGAGTTTTTCTCTACCACTTTAATTTTGAGAATAAAACTAATTCTTGCTCTAGTATTTCTTTTCTTAATAGCAGTTATCCATTATTTTTTTCATTTAAATGAAAAATTTTTACATAAGTCTTATGAAAATTTATAATCAACCGTTACTACGCATATATTGTATAAATAACACAATATATGTACAATATGTGTATTTACTAACTTTCACCAAATTTTAATAGTGCCCTTACCAATTTGATATAATCCTGACTCAGATCCTCAGCCAGCTCATCACCACTCCAGCCGCTATCACGTCCACAAACATTGTACCAAGCTGGCTCGTCATTACGCATGTCCAATGCCCTGTGGGCATCGTGTCGTTTATAGACACGTCCTTTCGCATGTTCGTCATCAACATCGCCTGCTTTATGTTCGCGATATATAAAACGTGCCAGCTCATGCAAGAACTCTAAAGTATCCTCCGCAGATTCGAATGACTGCGAAACATCGTGCGTTTGCTGCCGCAATGCGGCAGCAGGGGCGTGCTGTGGAAATTGCGCCAAAATCGCCAACACCACGTAAACGAAGAGTGAATAGTCACAAGTGCAGCGTTTCGTTGCAGTAGTGAGGCGACGTGGTGGGCGTACCTCATATGTGACGCAAACATCTTTCACCTGGTGGCAGTAATCTGTAAACGATTTTTTTTTAATGTTTTAAAAGTGATTGCAATAACTGGGAATTTTCTCGAATCTAATCATAGAGAATAAATTGTGAAATTGAAACTAAAATTATGAGTAAAATGCTATTAAATAGCATAGTACGTGTACAAACACCCAGTGGGCCAACATGCTAGTGTTGACTACAGTTGAAGTGAAAAATCCCCACACTCTATTTCATAAGAATAATTCTTCATTTAATATCTCTGCGAATGTGTCTCTGGTTTATCAGCGTACTTACGATATTAGTTATGCATCAGTTAAGCAGAGACATTACACCATAAAAAATTCCCAGGCGGCCAGCAACAATATAGCAATAGCACCCATACACCACCCCACACACAAGCAGTAAACTAGCAGTAAATATTTGCTTGAGTGAAAGAGTTCTTTTGAGCACTATTGAGCGGAAGGAAAAGAGACACACACACAAATAACATGCATATACGAAAAAGCAAAGTGGGCGCGCTGGAGGCAAAGCAAATGAGCAAAACTAAGAGCAAACGAATGAAAGTAGCGCTCACACATACACAGCGGCACGCAATGCGCTGCTCATGCACTTGTAGAAAGACTCAGCGTAAAGGTATTTTTATGAATGAAAATTTGCACAGCTGATTACTACTAAGCACGCTTTGGTGGTAAGGGCGAGGTGTGGTCGTGGGTTATTCCAGTACATGCCTACTTACTCGCACATGCTCGCGTATTTGTGAGCATTGATATACTATTATTTGCTTTTTAATTAAAGCGCGCGGCGGGTGTGAAGTGCGGACATGTGAAATTATTTGTGCTTACAGTTAGCAGAACACATTGGAGAATTACTCAAATTTTGACTCGCTTGCTTAATTGACTCTCTCATGTGGCAATTTTTTTGTGTTGCTCGCATTTTTAGTTGGATTTACTTGATTTTGCTGGTTTAATGTATTTAAAATGATTGTTCTGCGCTTTTATCGATACTAATTAACTACTATCTAAGTGAAGATAATTTATATTAATTTACATAATTTAATAAACTATTAAAAAAAAAAATTATTGGAACATTTAATTTAAAATTTTTAATAAATTTTTTAGATTAAATATAAGAAAATTAATGAAACATTTTTAAAATAAATTTATAAAGACATTCATAATTTATATTTAATTAATTAATTAAATTTTTTACTTAAAATTTTGAATACTAAATTAATTATTTTAATTTTAATGTAATTAGTAATAAAAAAAAAACAATTTCATTTCCCATTTTTAAATTATTCTGCTGATTATCAAATACATACATTAATTAGGTCAGTTGCATGGTTAGTTATAAGAAATTGCAATTCAATTCTTTAATTTCTAACCATATTTGGACATTTGCCGACACTGCTTTACTCAATCGCCTACTTAATCGCCATTCAATCACTATGCCACTTCACTGCCAAAATTAAATCTATTACTCATGTTTGAGTACACGCCAGATGATACCTTCTCATCGGCGTCTAAACGGCCAACTGTTGCGGTTGAAGAGCCTGCTTTTATGGTCTTGTATGCGTTTATTTCTGCTCAAATTGAAAATTTCATTGTTTGCTTTTGAATCATCAATAAACCCCAATAATTGGCTTATTTTTAAAAAGGCGTTGTTCTTTCTACATGTTTGCAGATTTTGATTGAAGATTAGTGTACAATTGAACTTTGGACCGCAGAAAGAAATTTCGAATTTGTTAACGAAAAAATTATTTGCTTGTGATTACTCTAAATTGAAAATGGCAGTTTTAATTGATGTAAGAAATTGGAATCACAGAAATTATTAAATCCAAATCTGACAGCAATTTAGGAACACCGAAAAGTTAAAGCTTTTGAGCTTGATGTTATAACAGCTTTGAAATTTGCAAAAATCTAAATAATTAAAGGGTTTATTAAGTTTGGAACACATACATGTATAAATAATCAGCAATCAATCATGACCAGCTGAGTCGACTTAGTCATGTCCGTCTGTCTGTATATAACCGAACTAGTCCCTCAGCTTTTGAGATATCGACCTGGTATTTTGCACAAATAATTTTTTCTCCAAGAAGCTACTCACTTATTAAAACCACCCATATCGGCCCACTACAGCATATAGCTGCCATACAAAAGGATCGATCAAAATCAAGTTCTTCTATGCAAAACTTCTTTATTTGACAAGATATATTCATGATATATGGTATATATTATTTTTGAAGACATTGCTATAATCTCTGAAGAAATTATTCAGATCTGACTATCATAGCGTATAGCTGCCGTAAAAATTAATGGGGCAAAATCAAGTTAAAGATCTTTTATACGCTTTTATGCTATAAGAAATGCACTTGTGAAGAGTATTATAGCTTCGATATAGCCGAAGTCAAAGTTAACGTTTTTGTTCTGCTTTCATTTATTTTTTTCACAACTAATACACTCCATTTCTGCAATTAACAATTTTTAGAAAGCAGCTGTGAAATATTTAGTGATGATGTAAGCATATTTTTTGTCATTTCAAAAAATTAATTTCTTCTTTCTAATCTAAACCGGATATTACACAATAATTTATAAAATTCCACTTAATGATATAGCATAATTCAGTATGTTTATTGAGAGAGCATGTTTTCGTCATTCACAAGTACTTGTGATAATTTTAACACTAATAGAAATACTAAATATTTAAATGTCATACTTAAAAATAAATGAATTTCGTCGCTTAACAATTCTTTCACACCTAATAGACGCGTAAATATTTAGCGACAATATAGCTATTAATAAATAGTCGGTAATGAATATGCGAATATTTATTCATATGTAGGTGAGCACATAGCTTCCAGCATGTGAGCTAATAATTACTTCAATTTCACACAATTAGCGGTCGTTCATTGGCTTGTAACTTTTCTATATTCAACGCAATAAATAAGCTTGTTTAAAGTTTATTAGCATTGCTATAAATATATTGCGGCCAAAAGATATATACACATGTCGGTTTTTGTATACACATATGTGTAGTATAAGGCAATGGTTGAGTGAGATGTTTAGGCGCACACTCAATTGATAGCGAAATTATTCGGCACGCGACAAGACAAACGTCACAATGCGCAATTGAAACAATTAAATTATAAACCTACACACACATAAATATTATATGTATATGTATGTGCTGCGCTCCTTCCACTTCCGTACTTCTGTTCCACACAGATAGACGAATGTCACTCATACAACATGTAGGCCAGACAGCTAACCATTTTAAGTGGTGTTTACAATTCGTAACACGCACACTGACGCATATGTATGTGTGTGTATGTAAGTCACACTGCACTGCTTGTTATCAGCTAGCGTTGGTATTAGTACGTTTTTTGTATGAACCAATTCTACACCTACATTTTAATACAGATGGGAGTTTGCTAATAAAGCGTAGTGTCATTTCGATTGGGTGCTGAATAAAATTCGCTTGATGAGCGTTGGCTGGAGCAGTTACCAGCGCAAAGGCAACTTCTCGTGAATTTCACAAGAATTTCGCATTAGTCACTCCTCGGTATTTGCTGACGAGCATGTTGTAGAGCAAGTTGCGGTTGAGCGTTTTAGAAACAAGTCAAGCAGTCAGGCAAGCGGCGAAGCCAGCAGCCAGCTAGACAAGCAATACAACGTGCGTAGCTGTACAAACAGCTGACAACTAGCATTTTGTAGGTGTTGGGGAGCGACAATTTAAGGGCTGATGCAGATATAGACATTTTTTATTTTTTTGTGCTTTTCGAATTTTGTTGCTTAAACAATTTGTGATGACTCGTCGCTGCGTTGAATGCAAATTAATCGAATAAATTGGAAGGAGAATCTAATACTGAGGAAATTTATTTGAAAAGTTTACATAATGATTTATTAAAGAAAACTATGTCCGTTAGTTATAAATATGTATGTATGAGCAATAACTCTTATCGTTCGGGTTTCAAAAAATACTTTCTAATTGGTGAACAATTTGGAAGTCCGTTAGCAAATGTATAAATCTTAAAATATCGAAAAATCGGGACTGATGAATCCCGAGATTGCGGGATTATTAAATGATATTATAGTATATTTGGTGGTAATAAAGACCATTTAATGCCAATAAATAAAAAAACATTTTCGAAATCCCGAAAAATACATATCTAAGTGTCTGAGTACCTAAATTTCGGGATTATTAAATAAACTCATGATAATGAAAATGTTTCCGTTAAAAAGTTCAATAATCTCAAAATCCCGAAAAATCGGGATTGAAGTAAAAATTTCGGGATTCTTAAATGTTATCAAATTTTGGTTGATGATAAATATTGTAAGCTTAAATGTAAGTTAAAAATTTTAAAAATCTTAAAACACAGAAAAATAGGTTTTGAAAACCTGAATCCCGAAATGTCCGGCTTTCATCAACTTATGTAAATTTCATATTTAAAGTGTATATTTATGACACATACGATCTAATATAGCCACACTCATTTGTCCAAATAAGTTTTTAATTATAATTATACATATAAAATAGAAGCTATAAATAGCAATAAACACTGTTTTGTCTAAAATTAACCACAACTGAAATTTGATGCGGTTGTATAATTTCGGTTGCCAAGCTCGTAGGCCGCCACCCACACAGATATTTAAAAAAAAATCAACACAGTTTAAATTTCTAGGTCGTCGACGAAACGTCATCGTTAATGACGTGTTGAAATTTGGTTCACATGGGTCTACATACATACATACGTACAAGTTATACTAGCAGATACATTTTTTTTTGTTTTCACTACTCATCACTCTTCATTCGCTTCATTAATATTTGTTCCAGCTGTTTCCCTGACGCCTGTGGTGTGAGTATTTCGATTTTATGTGGGCGCGCCTGCCGAAATTTGCATACTCAGCACAAAAGCAAAGCACAACAAAAACACAAAAAAACTTTATTTTTGAGTATACTTATGCATATGCATATACTTTGTGTGTGTGTGAAAAGAGCGCCAATTGCTAATTAAGCTATTAGGTGGCAGTGAACGACACCGGCAGCTATGGCAAAAACAACAAAAAATGATGACAACTTAAAAATTGAGCGTACACTTATATAATTTTGTGTTGCTATCGGAAATGTTGTCGTAGGTCAGCAACGACATTGACTGCTTATATTGAGTGTTTGATTGTGGAACGGTTTATTTTAGTGCGATAACATTTTTTATATTTTTTACATATTTTATGACACTTTATATATTTTTTATTTTCATTCAAGCGTATTTTGTATGTGAGAATTTTTAGATTTTCATTTAAAGTATCCTACTTCAGTCAAATTATTTTTAGAAAATATTTTTTAAGTTCATATAAATTTTTATAAATATCTTTGAGGTATTATCTTTGGAAAATATTTTTTTAAATTTTTTTATTGAAAAGTTGTTTAAATTTTTTATAAATTTTTTTTTAAAATATTAACAAGGTTTTGCTTTCAGAATGTACGCGGTTGATATTAGAATATTTGAGAAAAAAACGGAATTTTGTAAGCAAAAATAATATAAGTAAAGCAAATTCGGTGCAAAGGCACGAAGTTTGCGCGTAAGAAAAAACGCTTCACAAAGTTTTTTATCTACTAATTTCTTGGATTTAGTCTTAAAATGAGCTACTTATATATGTAGTTACGACGTAGAAAACGATGTCAATACAATTGAAATGTGAAGTTAAATTTTTGCTGAACAAATCGAAAACTATTTAAAATATCATTTTCAGAATTAAAATTTATAGATTATATAAATAGTTGCCAATTAATCTAAATTTCGAAATTGGCGGACTTTCGCAAGAATTTTGAAGTTTTTTTTTGTAATTTCGCAAGAGTTGCTATGCTTTACCGGACCCACAGTTTTTCATCGTTTAAGGTGCACAAGTTATTAGGTAGTTTGAGCTGATCCTCGCATCAAAAGTAACGCAGGATCCCACTTAGACGGCTCTGAAGGCTGTCCCATTGCGATTCCCATAACTCTAAGATATGGTTCACCAGATCCTTATAGATCGAGAAAGCGTTTTAAGCGTACCACAAATTTTTTAAAGCGGCGTCGATGACAGTGTACCGTCAGAACAACTACCATTTCGTCAAGATCAGCCGTGGTAGGAGCAAGTAGTTCAGCGGAACTCTTGCTTGCAGCCGCACAAGTTATAGTTATTGACCAGCGCTTGTCAAGCTCAAGGAGCTCTATTGAACTTGAAGTTATTATATACAGTAAAACATTGTGAGAAATTTAAAAAAAAAAACTCAACACATAAAAATTACGATAAAACCAATATTTCACAAACAAAAAAAAAATACAACGCTTAGCTTGCTAATCTGAAATAAAGTACGAAATTATATGAATATAGCTTTCTATGACTCACCAGTAGCTGTTTTGATCTCCATTATTTTCAATAGAAGAAAAGTTTCGGTTTGTAAATAAAAATTGTTTTTGGATAATTGTAGTCACAGAAATTCTGCCGCTTCCAAACCCTTTAAATCTGCTTACTTCCACTAAGTTCTTCAAATTATTTTACGTATTAAAAGCCGACTGATTACGGATCGATTACTATTGACAGGAGTAGTTAACACTTTTGATCTGAAGCAACTGTTGCCGATATCACTACCGACCAATGTATTTATACTCATATAGAATATCGATATATCAAAAAAAAAGAAGATAAATAAATAAATTATAGAAGTATATAATGGTATATATATTTTTTATGCCCCGTATTGGTGTTTTTATTTTTGTTTTTGTTATTATTATTAGCAGTTTTACCGTTCTTCACAGGCCCGGATTCTTATCAGAGTTATAAAGATTAAACAGTAACGTTTACATATGTTTGTACGTATGAACATTGTTACGTATACACTGACATACCTACATGCTCACGTATGTAGAGCAAAATCAAAGTGAAAGACAGAGTACTTTTATAAAAGTCCCGAGCTACTTACTATACTTTTTTTGTTTTTTTTTTTCAAATGCATGGGCGATTGAGTTGTTTGATAAGGCAAGCAGAGGAAGTGTTCGCCAATATTTACTAATAGACTTAGCTCAAAGAACGGAAGTTTCAGTCAAGCACGTAGGTCACATATACATATATCAGTTTAAGCCCCTGATGTACTCGTAAATCATTAGCCTTATTTTGTTGCAAATTCTTGGAAATCAACATTTCGGTAATTGCTGGGAGAAGTATTAATACACGTACATACATAGTGTTAGAGGTACATAAAATATCACCGAAATTGCGCCAACTCGCTAGATTAATATTTGCTTCAAAAGATATACTCATGTATATATAACTTGTAATCTTTGGTAAACATTTGTATATATGAAGTGGATTAGTAGGTGCAATTGCATAAATTATCGATCACTAGTTGCTATAAATAGAATTTATGATATCATATGGTGGAAGCCATGGGTAGTATAAAGTAAAGGTTTAAACTCTTTTCTAATTGAGATTTTCTCTCGCAAAAGTTGCTTATATTGAAACAACTTCTAGAAGAAGAAAGAAGCCACATTAGAAGTCATTAGTACTTTATATTCTTGTAATAAAGACATATATGGTTATACTGTAACAAGTCAACCAAAGCCCACAAACATTACTCAACTGCATTCAATGGAATACAATCGATTATGTATTTGGCAAACAACATTAATACCTAAATGAAACAGCCAGTTGGCAAATAAGCAAACAGAAGGGCCATAAAAAATAATAAATAAAGCGAAATTATGCTGAGTTACTAATTTGTTAATAATTCTATTTGATTAAATATTTTAATGAATCATTTTTACCTTTTTACTGAACTCAGCTTACACACGTGTTTACGCAGAGAAAAGTACAACAAATTTATAAAAATTACATGCAAACATATGTGACAAATATGTTAAGTTGAATAATGTTTACACTGTCTAGAACCATAAAACTATATAATTTGAAAGAAATAACGTGAAGACTTAGTTTACAGCCTTATATGGTACGTTTCGGAAGAATTGTTTTTCCACAGCCCTAGAATTTACATTTCATCAATTACATATATACATATGTATACATACATATATATATACATATATATATACATACATATGTATGCAACAACAAAAATCATATAAATGAGTCAATAATCGTAAATTTTGAAAGGGACGCTTACAAGAAATTTAGTCGCAGAAATATTTATATATATATTTTATAACGTATATTTCAGTATAGGGTATTTCGAAGTTGATCCGGCAAATAGTTTCGGAGATATAAGCGAAGTTGTGAGAATCTTTTAACTTAATAACCGGTTCCCAAAACTTCAAACGCGTTTTTTGCGAAAGACCGATCGGATCGACTGGGAATTATCACTCGACGTTCAATAATATATTTTGCAGTGATGATCGAAAGAACACGTTTTTTCATAATAATCTCGATTTTTTAATAAATTTTTTTGATTTTTTTATTTGAAATAATTCCCAGAATTTTACTTAGCACGAGACGCATTTTTTCAAAGTCAAGGGAATGCAAAAAATTATAAAATTAATTGTCGATTTTTAAAGCACATTAAATTCTGTAAATGATTATTATTTTTAATTAATATTTAAATAAATTGCTTCTATACAAAAACCGCGTTTTTTCTGTGTTGTAAGTGAATATGACCTTTTAAAAAAAAATGTATTTTCTATCGCGATCAAATGTTATTCACCACTGACTTTATACTTGTAAAGGCTTTTCATAAGAGAGTTTATACTTTCCTAGCAAATCATAAAAGGCTCATTTTTTTAGCTTGGCTAATGCAGTAACTAAACTGGAATCAATACTTCACTTAATTAAAAACTACACTCGCTTTTCATATGTAGCCTTCATGTATTTTGAATTTCTACCCCTGATCTTGTTCAAGTGTAATCTAAGGGACCAGTGTTAGCTTTACAGCGATTGAAACTTTAGTATACAAGTATATTCCCCACAGGCAATGGTTTAGACTTGCGTCCGCCCTGGGTTAATTGTACGTCAGCACGCCGAATGCTAGCGTAAAATAAGTTTCAATAAAGCATCTTTCAATAACATTATTAACATTTATTGCTTATCCCACACCGAATAATCCAATTAATAATATTATACGTAAGACTTTTTTACAAGTTTATGCCATCTATATTCATTTACTGTAAATACTTTGACGTATGACTTTTTTTACGTATGTCTTTCCATGTGTGACATATGTACAACTGTACGCTTCCAAATACATATATGTACGTATATTTAAATGCTAACCAATTGAAATGCTTTAGTATAGCCGCCGTCACGGCTAGTGCAATCGCTGATAATTCAATTGATAATTCAATGGAGATAAAACAAGTAATGTATATGAATATAAATATTTATATATAAATGTATAGCTATTTAATACAATATGGGGGCAGGTCTGCATATGCAAATATAAAGATATGCACTCGATGATGCTCGACTTATCTCTTTATGGAAAAATCGAAATTAATAATAAACGAATAACTAGGGATAACATGATATTTCCTGTTTGGTCTGTCACGTGACTATTTTTAGATCACAATATTTTTTACATATAGTATATTCTATTATATAACTAACCACCATAACAGGTAGTATAAGGCAATATTTTGAATTCTTTCCAATATATAACTTAGTGAGAAAAGATAATAGTCCTTTTATAACTCAGAATTATATAGTTTTCAAACTATCGAAGCGCTTGGTGACTTGAATTAACACAAACTCTTAGTAAAAAGTCCATATGTGGTGAAATTGGGAAGCACAGAAAATTTATAACAGAAATTCTGTAAGGTATTGTTAGACGTCAGAGGCTATGCGACAACATTTCGAAGATGCCAATAAAATACATATATGCTACTGACATCTTAAAAAAACGAAGTTAATAAAATTGCAAAAGCAACATACTATAACCAATAATGCTCACGAAATGTAATGCATGTTGCGTTACCTTATTTGGCCATGACGTAAGTGAAAGTTTGCTCGGATTTATTTGGACTTAATTAATTTCAGTTCGTTGTGGTTAGTTGCTGTCGCAATAATTGATAATCTGGGGCAATATAAATATATATATATAGCATTTCTATCGCTGAATGGTTTCGACCCACAATTGTTTGCAAAAACAGCTGTATTTTGCGTTATCACACACGACTATACTGATTACGTGGCTTTTTGTCCTTTCGATTGGCTTTATATTAGGTCTAGTAAAAGGATGGCTTTTGTAATCTGTAGCTGTGTGTAGTATAAGTGCGTCAGATAGTAGATAAGATAATATTTTCAATACAAACAAGTGAGGAAGGGCTTAGTTCGGATGTAAACGAACATTTCATACTCTTGCAAATTGCAAGGGTCAAAGCCGAGGAAATACCTTCAAATGTTAGCAAAACTTTATATTAAGCAAAGTGGCAAAAAGGTTCCAACTTCATTGTTCGACGAAAGCGTTAATGGATAACAATCAAATTTGGTATAATATTAACTTATTTGAAGGTCATAGACTTTCTTAGATTTATTACTATATAGGTATTACTTGCCGTCAGCAAAAATTATACTAAAATCATTGGGGGAAGAGAAATGGAAGAGTTGAATGCATTAGTTTTTGACATTACTCAGGTATATAGTACTTGAGAACTTATTTTCAAGCAATTTTATAGATTAATAAATATAAATATATATATGAAGTTAAGTCAGCCGAACGTTTCAAATTTGTGAATATCTGTTATATGGGGGCTAAGGCAATTTTTCACCCGATTTTATCCATTTTAGGCACAAAGATACACTATTATTAAAAAAACATGCTCTCTCAATTTTGTTGAAATAATCCCCGCATTGACCGATATATGTGGTATAAAGTCAATTTGAAGTTCGAAAATCTCTATATTAGGTATATGGGGGCTAAGGAAAGTATTGACCCGATCCAACCCATTTATGACACAAGGGTATATTATTATCATGGAAACGTTTTCCCCGAATTTCAATGATATATTTCCCAGATTGACCAATATTTTCGCCAAAAAATCGGCCATACGCACTGAAGTCCACATATTATATTTGGCGTCTGGGTTCTTCAAAAGTTGTAGTCCGATTTTGACAAATTTTGAGATGAAATAGCTTGAAGGCACTATTTGTGCAAAGTTTTATTCGTATACATTGATTGGTTCTTCATTTGTATACTTGAATGTGAAAGAATCAGATGGAATTTAAAATTGTGGAATTTCAGGATTATATCACATACCAAATATCGTTGAAATCGGTTAAGTACGACCCGAGATATGGACTTTCCTAATATGGCGGTGTAATGCCCATCGTCTAAATTTGACACCGCCTTCTATAAAGCCCTCTCGTACCATTTCGGGTGTAAAATGTTATGTCTCTGAATCCTTTAGTAGTTTTTAACAAAACCAT